CGCGGGCCAGCAGCCCCCCCCCCAGCACAGCTACGCCGCGGGCTCGGCGGGGCCCGCCCCGTACATGCACCCCACCTACGGAGCCGAGCAGCAGAGCTTGCCCCTGGCCGGGTACAGCCACCCCCTGTCCCCTCTGCACGCCACCCACCCGGACACCGCGCGCTCCCCCTCCGCAGAGACCTCTCCTCCAGCGCAGACCTTTGACTGGATGAAAGTGAAAAGAAACCCACCTAAAACAGGTCAGTCGCAATCAAAGTTTTGTTTTGTTTTGTTTTGTTTTGTTTTGGGGGGGGGGGGTTCTCTCCTCTTTCTCTCTGTTTTGGAGCAGCCAACACAAGGCAGAGCGCCCCCCCGTGCTCCCCGTGGCCTGCTGTTTATCTGGATTTTTATTTTTTTTACAGGTAAGGAGATCTCCGGCAAGGCAGCGCGGACAGGTTCACCACTCTGCCATCATGACAGTCCAGGCTCTTATTTGCGTCCCCGTGGTAATATGTCTTGCGATTCATAGCCCACTCATCAGGCTTCCTTTGACACTAGTGGCTGGCTCCAGCTTAGCACGATCCACTCCATCACTCACTGCCGGGCTCCCCCGCATCCCGAGGAGTTCCTGCTCCATATCGCTCTGCCCGTGTGTACACATTGATTATGTCACCTCTAAATCATCGCACTTGCTTAAACTTGCCCTATGCTTTTCACAGGGAAGGCGGGAGAGTACGGCTACGTGGGGCAGCCCAACACGGTGAGGACCAATTTCACCACGAAGCAGCTCACGGAGCTGGAGAAGGAGTTCCACTTCAACAAGTACCTGACCAGGGCCAGGAGGGTGGAGATCGCTGCTTCGCTGCAACTTAACGAGACGCAAGTGAAGATCTGGTTTCAGAACCGTAGGATGAAGCAGAAGAAAAGGGAGAAGGAGGGCTTGCTACCCATTTCCCCGGCTACCCCCACGGGATGCGAGGAGAAAGCAGAAGAGTCATCAGAAAAGTCCAGTTCATCCCCGTGCACCCCTTCACCGGCCTCCTCTACTTCAGACGTCCTTACTACCTCAAACTGAGACATCCCTGGGCCCCACCCTATAGCTACATCTTTAGCGTACCCTCATTGATTTAAAGTAAATATATTTTTTTAAATATTCGGGTCATCCTGACGTTCAAATAACTTGTTCCGTGAGCATTTGGGTTTAGAAATTCCCTCCGCTGTTTATTTTATGCAGAGCTAAACACAATGGGTTCTAATGTCAGTTTTTGATGACCACTTAATTAACTAGTCCTGCATTCATTCCTTACATTCCAGCAGGAGTTGTGAGTTCTTTTTTTTTTTTTTTTTGGTCTCCTTAGCACATTTATAAGGGTCTCCCTGTTTCCGGAGAGCCAAATTGCAAGGATGTTTCTATATTTTTTCCCCTACAGAAACACAAAGCTATCGAGAGTACATGACCTCATGATGAGATGCACTATTGAAAGTGTTTACACGAGTTATAGAACTTTCATCCATTAATTTAATGCGTTCTCTTTTTTTCGTGTGTATGCGTTTGTTGGTTGTAAATACTTTGTCCAAGAGATTTATCTTTTTACAGATTTTCTAGAAATGATGTTTAGATTAAGCAGGGTGGGTACATTCTCAAAACTGGATCCAATTTTATAATGGTAAACCTGATGATATCAGTTAAATTTGCAATCAGATACCTCGAATTGTAGCACCATTTTTTTTTATGAGACAGAAGAAGGCTTCAATTGCACTAGGTTTTGTAAACCTTACTGGTGTGCTCCCCCTCTCCTCCCCCTCCAGAAATCTGTGCTGGATTATATTGGACCTAAAACGGTATTTTATTCCCCCCCCAAAAGACCTCACCTATTCCTATTTTCAAAGTAATCCTTCCTTCGACTTGATGTCTTTTCAGCCTAATCGTAAATGTGATGACTGGCCAAATGAATGTATATTTTCTGTGATTCGTGTATGGAACTTTGCATGATGCACAATGCTTTGATGTACTGAAGGTACACTGAGTTCTATCAGTTGTCATTTGTGAGCTAACTATCTTTCTGATTTTCTGTACAATCATTAAAGGTTCTGCGGTTCTGTGAGTGACGGAATCCAGAGCAGAATTTACGGGTCCTAAAATGTCTGTAATAAATATATTCAAGTTTCAGGTACACGTTGTTTTAGTGCATGTGTGACGTCATTGATCACCTACCTAGTTAGCTTCCTTAGTCTCCTGGCGTGGCCTTCGAGACGCTATTCAATAAAAGACCTTTCTCCTACTCATTATTTTGCTGAGGCCAGGACTCTTGTGTGTCCTTTCCACAGCGCCCAGTATGCGGCATCGCACCAGCCTGGTTTGTGTGTGTGTGTGTGTGTGTGTGTGTGTGTGTGTGTGTGTGCGCGTGCGTGCGTGCGCGCTCGATGACTACAATATTAACAACGTTTCCTTCCAACATGTAGGAAAACCGCCTCTCTTACGGCAGGGGGGGGGTTCTTGACCAGAACTATTTTTTTTACGCTGTCTTACGGCAGGAGTGCATTTCTGAACCAGATCTATTTTTGAAACGCAAATGCGAGAACTTCCTGGGTCAAGTGCTAACCTTTTCACCTCGAACTGAATGTTGACATATATATAAACACAGCCCGCTTCAAACGCAGAAACTGTCTTCAACCAGTCTTTCTTCACATCCCAGGCCAAGAGGGAAGAGATTCACATTTCATTATCTCTTGGACAAAGCTGACTCAAGAACTGCATTCTCCTTCCCCCGAAATTGCCAGGGACACCACTTTATTAAGACCTGGCAAGTTGGGTGATTGGTGTGTCTTGAAAGGTGACCCTCGCGCTACCTCTTCCTCCTTTCCCCCTCTTATTTCAGAGATCTCCCATCTCCAGGTGTCTTGGTAGTGTGCTCTTGCCAAAACAGCCCAGGATCTTCCACCGACCCAAGTGTTCATTTCCTCTTCCAAACAACAACACCACTAATAATAATAGGAAGAATAGTAGTTACAATAATAGTAACAATAACAATAAAAAACAAGTCCCTGCAGGTAATTTCAGGAAATTCTCAAAGCTTTCGATTTAAGTTAATGCTTTTAACTCAATGAAACACGCCCACGCCCTTTCCTGCCGTGTCACCAAGTTAAGTAGAGACATGTTGGGATAGACATTTGTGATGTCGTGTAAGACTCCTGGTGTCATTTGAGTTTCAGCCCGAACAAATAACATCTTGCACATCTGCTGG